TACTAATTGTAATAATAGCTTGTATAGAAAGTGTTGGATTTGTATTAACAGAAACATGAATAATAGGTACATTTGATGAAAATTTCATTATCATTGATACATCTTCTGGTGTACTAAAATATTTAAATTATTTTTTTTCTTTTATTGAGAAAAAAAGAAAACTACTTACACATTATACATCATTGGAGTCTAAAATAGACAAAAAAACAAATAAAGTGTTTATTGTTTTTTATTTGGTCTTACTAAATTCATTGCTGAATTTCTTGATGGATGTGGTTCAGTTAAAAGTTGTGCTGGTGCTTGACCAAAATTTCTTATTTGTGTTTCAATAGCAGCACGATCTGTTGGATTTGTTATTGAATCAAGATTAACAGTATCTTCATATGTTAAATAATAAAAAACATTAACAGCACGAACAGCTTCAGGTCCTGAAAAAAATATATCAATTATTAAAATAATATTAATCTTCTATAAATAAACCTCTTTGTTTATAACCAAAAATTAAATCAATCCAATGATGTAAATGACATGAAACAAATTCAGATTCTAATGCCTAAAAAAAAAAAAGAATTTTTTTTTATTTCTTCAAAAAATTTCTCTTGTTTTTTTTTATTACTGTTCGATTAATTCGAATGAAATCTTCTGGTGTTTGTGCCCATTTAGGTAAAATAACATCATCAACTTTAATTCCATCTTCAGTTCGTCCTAATCTATAATGATTACAATTTGTTAACATTTCAGGTAGAGAAAAAATTCCGGTATTAATTCTTTAACATCTGATGAATCACGTTGACAATTTTGCCATGATAATGGTATTGAATGAAATAATCGATTAGCGTGATCAAATTTTCCTTCTTGTAAATTTAAATAAAATGTTGTAAATGGTTCCTAAAAAAAAACAAGAAAACTATTCGATTCATTTAAATATAATTATATTCAAACTAACAAGTCGAATAAGCCAACCAAGTGTAAATGCAGCTGTTGAATAATGTGTACCATAATGAAATGGTGGTATTGTATCAGATTCCCAATTATTATAACGTTCAATAAAAAATGATTTTCTTGTAGGATTTAATGCACCAATTGGCTAAAGAAAAATAAATCAAGTATAGATAATAAAAATAATTTAAATTTTACTTTTGATAAATCTCGATAAGTTGATGGAGAATTTAAATCAAGTTTTTCACTTTCATAATCAGCTATAATCCATGGAAATACAGGATATTGATTTAAATCTTGATATGTTCGACCTAAAAAATATTTTAGATGTAAAAAATTTTTGTTTTTAATCTTTATTTAATCATACCTGCAATTGTATTAAGATACATAAGATATTCAAAATTTGAAATTTCTCGTCTTTGCCATCGTTGAGTCATATTTGCTGAACGAAATAATTGTTTTGCTGATGCTAATGATGTTCGTCTAAATAAAATTAATAGAAAAATAAATATTATCAAATAATTATTCTAACCGTTGTTGTGGTAAACCATAACGACCACCAACACCAACTCGAGGTAAAAAGTTTACAACTTTTTTTACAATTGAACGATCAATAAATGCAAACATAACACTTGCTAAAATACAAATTTAGAAAAGTACATTATAACAAAAAAGAAACAGCAAACTATAGATTGAAATAATAATTCAATCTTTCATACAAATATCTGTTAGATTATTTCGATTTGAAAATTTGCATAGA